AATGAGAGACATGATCATCCAGAACCGCGTCATCTTGGACCTGCTCACTGCCTCACAAGGAGGGGTATGTAAGATTATAGGAACCACATGCTGCACCTACATCCCAGATGAAACTGGAACTGGTGGAGACATCCATGATGCCCTGAACGACCTAGAACAGCTGAAACGGTATGTGGACAGTACAACATCAGGAGCACAACCCTTTGACCTTCTTTCATGGCTCACATATAGACCGTGGTGGCATCTGCTGCTGAAGATTTGCACCCCCATCCTGGTAGTACTCGACCTCTTTTTCTGCACTTTCACCACGTGTCCTCCCACTTTTGAAAACAATGATGATGAAAGCATTTACAGGTGTTTTAATCAACCTTCACCTGTCAAGGTTAAACCAAGAAAATTACACTCCACTGACACGATTAGAGTATGATGATGCTATATAAAAGAGATGCATTATGATTCTTGTACTGAAATTGTGTTCAACAAATAAGTACAAAGATGATGTTTTGCTCCTGGGCCAGCTATGTTCTCTCCTGTATTTAAAAAAAATCCTACTTGTTGTCATTCTTCTGAAAAGTAAACACATTCAGATGTTTTGTCGTATGTATCAATTTATTTTCATCATCATTTCCATAGTTTTTTGAAAATAGTTAATAATCCACCACCTTTGCCTGATGTTCTCGGAGCATTAAAATAAGAATAGTCCGGTAGTAAAATTTCCGACAGGGCCATGAACTCACCACAGGAGAGCCACGTCTCAGTCACGCAGAAGAAGTCCAGACCGGTGGAGGAGAAAATGTCCTTCAAGATGAACGTTTTATTAGCCAGAGATCTCGCGTTTATCAGGGCAATCCTTGTAGGAATCACAGCAGGAGAAGATGTCCATGAAGTTCAGACCAGCAGTCTCAGATTTGTGGAGTTCGACCCGCGACTCCAAAGACCGGACGCCCAGCCGCGGCGAACAGGTCTGCTGTGGAAGTGCGACCTGACCCGTGGGACCGGGAAGGACTCAGGTGGATCGGCGCAGCGCCAGGACAAGTGATTTAAGATGTGGTCCTCGGTTGAAGAGGAAGCCGCAACAGCAGCCCCGCAGGCTTTGATCCTCACAAGACGTCCAGCCCGTTTTCCACGGCGCCTGGAGCGATGTCTTCGAGCGGGCAGGATACCACGGCGGAGGTAAACTGGAACGTCTTCAAGCAGAGGTGGGAGTCCAAGAGGGGGTCGAGATTTACAATAATTATGATCAAACAAAGTGAGACTGGTGGCAGATAGTCTGAGATTTAGGAGTTGATGACGTTCATAAACCAGCAGTGAGTCAATGTTATAGGTGAAAAATGACAAAAACAGAAAAAACACAATCACTGCAGACAGAGGTGGAGGGCAGGCCATGCACAGCGGCGCCATCTTCCCGGAAGTTCCTCGGCCCAGGACGTGAACACTAAAGTTGAAAATGAAGACATCAGGTTTAATTTTTATTTATTTATTCAACACCACAAACTGTATGTCACACAAACACTGATAATTAAACTGAACACACTATTAAAACAAGTTAAATGTTAACTACGTTAATGAACTGGACTCTTGTTTTCATCCGGTATGGAAGTCCCACGTTGTTCATCTGGCTCGTTCAGGCTGTCACTACTTTGTTTAATGCAGCTTAAAACATTGAATGGATTGAATAAAAGAACTGAGGGGAATTTTAAATAAATAGTTCATCCAATATCTGTCTCTCTCTTCGACGTCCTCCTGCACTGCACCTGGGCCGAGCCTCGTTCAGAACCGGTCCGCCTGGTGGGAGGACAGCTTCTTCTTCTTCTTTCAGGAAAAAATAAAAACTCAGTTGGTTGTTTTGTAACCGAAGTAAACACAAACTAACATTATTAAGAACATTTGATTTACCTGCTGTAAAACAGCTACTGATTATCACGGAGTAAAGTTCGACATCGTCAACTCGGTTCTGGTCCACTCAGCGACCGGTGTGGAGCTGTTAGACTAAGCGGTCCTGCTTGGCGTCAAATCTGTCGACTCTTATCCACAATCCAGCCAAAATCCAGCTTTTACTTGTTGTTAAAT